AAAAAGCCCCTGATTTCCACATGTCTCTTTCTTCTGTTTGTTTTGTTTTGATTCCTGGATCCTCCGAGCCTCCATTTTACCCTACTTCATTCAGATCCATTTGGAAATCCAAATCTTTTCTTTTTTCCCAGAAGTAATCCAGTCATGACAGGTATTTCTTCATATCTCTGCCAAAGATGTCTTATGTCATGGGGAGACAGATTCAGGGTAGCATGTCTTGGAACCCGTCTCTTTCCACCAACTTTCTAGCCATCACCCTTGCTCCCTCCCTGCCCCATTCCTATTGACACAGGTCCACAAAGCCCCTGTCAGAAATACAGTTCAGGCTCTCTAGCACCTCTTCCACAGCTTTTGTCATGGGAAGCAGACCTCTTTATCCTGATACAGTGCTTTTCAACAAGAGGTGGTTTTACCCCTTAGAGGAATTTGGCAATTTGGGTTGACATAACTAGGAGGAAAGAGGGCATTGTTACTGACTTCTAGTGCCTCACCTAGATGCCAACCCATCTTTGCAACCTTATCTATGACAATTCTCAGGTTGTCTCCCATAGGACAGTCTACTGAAACATTTACAATTCCCTTTACTGTCCTCACATTTCTCCCTGATGTGGCTTTGGTCAGGATGGGTCTCCCACCTGAACTACCCTTACCCACAATCTCTCCCCTTTCTGACAAATCTCTGGTGAAATATCAGGTTCATGGATCCTTGACTGATGGCTTCATCTGGAAGATATCTCCTCATTTTCTGAGTCTCACTGATATGTTACAAGCACTTTTCATTTTTGCCTCACTTTATGTTTTTCTGGAAGAATGGGGTATGTTTTGAGAATGTAAGTCTCTTTAGGATGAATTGTGTGTCTGATTCATCTTTATAATCATCCACATCACTTAACACTGAACCTTTAGAATAAATAATTGATGATCGAGTGAACACACAAGTGAATCAATTATTAATGGTTTACGGTTTCATAATGTTATCAGGTATATTTTCTTATTTAATTCTCAAAATTATCTTGTAATATAAATATTATTATACTGAAAAGAATCCTGTGAGCCAAAGAGACTGATTAAAGTGAAAAAGTAAACCAAAATACATATCATATTAGGCCCCAATCTGCCTCTTTAGTTGTCATCCTTTTTAATCCTCCTAACAATCTTCAAGGCAGATCATACTAGTGCTATTTTGATGATGAGGATATTGAACATTAGTGTGTTAAGTTATTTCTCTGCACCCACATAGCTGGTTAATCTCTGAGTCCTGGGTTTATAATATGCCCAGCTTCAAAACCTGAAATCATCTTGGTCTGGCTATAGAATTGCTAAGAGGCATATCAGGACTAAGGCCTGGACCTTCTAGCTCAAAGTCCAGTTCTCTGTACATTAAGCCTTAGCTCAGAGAATAAACATTATTTCCAGGGGACAAAGAGAACAATATAAAGTGAATGGAGAGAGACACACAGGATGAAATCTAAACAAAGCAGTTGCATCCAGTAAGACTGTTTTATGAGGAAGTATGTGTGTGTGTTGGGTGGGGTTAGGGCATTTGTATGCTTTGAGCCAAAACGTTCTAAAATGAATGGGAAATGCCAAAAAATGTTAGGTTTGCATATGTGGATTTCACCTTAATTGCAGCATTCTTTTTATCAAGGATAGATAGTTATAAAATACCATGCAGAAGAGACTGCATGATGGCAATTCATTTTGAAAATACATTGCCTGTCTCAGAGAAACACTTTCCACTATCTAAATCAGCATGTGAGTTATAGCCTTACGGTGGCACATGTTCTGTGTTGGCCCAGACTGCCACTTCAGGGTGACATCTAACTCTGTGTTCTCTGAAGAGCTTTGAGCAATGCTATGTCACATCCCCCCTGTGCTGTGCCTACAGCTTGCCCAATCTGAAGATCAAACTTCTGGAAATCTAAGGCAAATAGAGGGAATCTGATGGAGGAGAAGAACATAGCTTTAAATTAGAAAGTACCACTATTTATCCATTTTCACCTCCAACTCTTAATTTCCTTTTCTGTAAAATAAACCAATACCTATTTAACAGGATAGGAATGAAGATTGAATGAGTAAATCTATGCACAACTGAGCATCTGGAAGAGCTGTTGATGTTGTCCCGCTTCACAGATCCTGTTTGTCTTTATTTATTTGCATGGGAG